AGGCCTTGGAGTGTGGAACCCTGCATGACCACCTTGGTTGTCTACTGACCAAGCTGGCCCTGCGCGGAGCTATTAACTTGCATTATAAAGGGCTAAGAGTACCTCTCTCCTGCCTCACAGCTCTGTTGTTAGAACTAAGAAAGGAGCTAGAAGAAGTATTTTGAAAAGTGTCAAGTGCTGTATGTACGTACAGACATAGGCACTTCCTTACCTAAGCCCGGTTTCTTACATCTAACATTATGTTGGCTTCACATGAGCCACAGGCATGTGTAAGGGGCTTCGTGTCCAGCAGAAAATATTCCACTTCCCAACTCTGTGGAACCAGCTTATGTAAGGTGCCATCATGGTCTTTTATAAAGAAGCCTCGTAACTGGGCCTCTTGGAGGTCACGTGGCAGATGGACGGCAGAAAAGCTTCAAGATGGGCCTTGCCCACCAGCCCCTGTAAAACAACTCCTTGTCGTGTTCCAGGAAAACTCCTAAGAGTGTTTTACAATCTGTTCTTGGGAGTTAATTGGTCTTGGTGGTGGGAGTGACATCATGGAGTGGTTAATTAGCCTCGGATTTGAACCCAGATCTACGGCGACTGGGAGTGTTCTCTAAATAAGCCTCTCCATTTCCTGTGAAATGGATGTGACATTAACACTGCCTTCCCCAAAGGCTTCTTGTAGGATGAAATGCACACGCAGAGGACTTGTTGTGCGACCAGGCAGGCAGGAAGTAGGTGCTCGGTAAATGTTAGCGACGATCATTTTTAACCTGAAGGTTGTTTAGGCTCACACAAGAGGCTTGAAGAACAGTAGACAGCTTGGGCTGGATGCTTATGTGATGAATATCATTTCTAGCACCCAAAGTAGATGAAGCATTGGCCACTAGACACCATGCTTTTGTTTTATTTTACTTTTTATTGAAGTAGAGTTGATTTACAGTGTTGCATTAGTTTCTGGTGTACCGCATAGTGATCCAGTTACACATGTATATATTCTTTTTCATTATAGGTTATTACAAGATATTGAATAAAATTAATTCCCTATGGTATAACAGTGCTGTATACAGTTTTCACGGACACAGAATTCTCCATTTAGGATAGGTTTGTGGGGAAGAGGAGGCAGAGAAATTACAACAGAAACAATAACCCAAATATTATATTGTGACCTGATTGAAACCCTGACTTTTTCCTATGGTCATGAAAAGGCACAGACTGGACACTGAGAATGTCACAAATTCTGAACCCTGTACGGTGTTACTCTGACCTGAATTTTGTTTACTTTTTGGTTTGCATACACCCTTCTGATCTCCGTCTTGGAAGTCTGCCTGTGAAAGTGGACTGTGTAGAAATTTGATAACCATGGTTTACAGAGAGCTGTTTCTTGGCCCAGTCATCCATGGAGATCATATTTAGCATCCCAGACTCTCATAGGACTCTCGTGCCTCTGATTCAGGATTAGGTGTTGCTGGTTATAGAAATCCTCAAGAAAGTCACCAACCACTAAGGAGAATATTGTACCAAAAGATCCAATGGCATTTCACTAATTGGAGACTAGTTAAGAACACACAGGAGTCAGTTCCCTGGGTGACTTGATGAATACGTGATGCCATCTAGTGACGACATTTCAAAATTCAGGCTCACTGTCTCACTTTGTGGGTCTCTCTCTCTCCAAGGCCGACACAAGCCTCACAACATAAGCCATCTCAGCCAAAGCCATGCAGAACCCATGCTGAAGAGCATCGCAGACCAGGAGCCCCTGGGAAGGTCGTGTGTACACACCTGTTTCATGCTTTGTCCACATCTTAACCAGCCCAGGCAGACGAGGATCCCAAATAACTCTACTTGGAAGCTATAATTTATTTTGTATTTCGTCTGATGCCCCCCCAAAAGTGGACGCTGACTGACCTACTTCTGTTTTGAGATGGGTGAAGTTGTGATTACTGACCCCAATTCTCCACCAAAAACTCTTTCCAAGAAAAAACCCAAATCAACACTTATTCCTTCATTTTTAACGTTAACAGATGAAAAATTAGCCCCTCTCTACTCCAACGCCCACCTCTACTCCACACAGTCGTGAAATTTGCCTTCTCCTTGGCATTTAAAGTTTAAGAGGACCTTGTGTGGTTTTGACTCATTTGATTATTGATTCATTTATTCAACACGTGCATACCCTGCAACTCTAGGGGTGTGATGAAGAATGAGATGGACATGATCCTTGCTTTCCTACAAGAAACACTTTTTTTGTTGTTGTTGTTTGTTTGTTTGAAAGAGTGGGTTGTGAAATAATGAGGTCGATTGGGAAAAACGAAGGAGGACAGGACACAAAAACATGGCCTTACACAGGGATGTGAGGAAAGAGCAAAAGCATCATGGTTAATCCCGGGAAAGTGAGGCCAGTTGAAAGTGAGAATAAAACGGATTTACTTTTGGCAAAGAGAATGAGCCGAGGAGACAAGCCCTGAGTCACCAAGGAAGGTCAGAACTCAGATGCGTGAGCAGAGGTGGCGCTACTCAGCCGGCGGGGCGAGGTGATTTCCACAGGGAGACTTAGGATTTCAAGTAGAGGAAATTTTTTACTCTTGGTCCCATTGGTAAAAACCACTGATTTGGAGCACTTCTGGAATAGAGCTGATGTGGAGGTGCACTGAATTTAATGATTTGTATCTTTAATAAGCTCTTGGAAGTCTGGTCCTCCAAAAACTTCCAATTTCCCCACTATGTTCTCTATGAAATCTGCTGTATGTGTTCTATTTCCTTGTACCTATTTCTCCAAAGTCTTATGCCTTCACTGCTCTTACTGACCCTTGGCCTTTTTACCTGTCTTTTTCCCTCCAGTGAGGCCTATTCCTTGACCCACACCGTGCGCCCTTGTGCAGTGCATCCTGGCAGCGGGTCACACATCTTGCAGGACACCAGCTTAGGAGGCAAACAAAAGCCTACCGTGTGCGGCCCAAGAATATGAGAAACTCAATCCCCTGCGTCACTGGGGAATTAGGAGTTAGAAAAAGCAAGTGACAGCTCGTCAGGCTGGGCTCCTCCGGACCAGGCCAGTGTGCGCCCGTGCGTCCCTGGCCGGGGCTTCCAGCAGGTGTTCTG